CTATAATAACAAAGTTTCTAAATTAAGATAGATAATCGAAATGTATATAGATGATACAAAACATAAACATGTTTGTTTCATTCTGTATTGGATTGGCTTTCAAATCTAAAACCGGTAAACAATTCAACTTAATAATTTAATTTTAGTTTTAGTTGGATTGATTGGTTTAGTGTTATGAAGTGATTCTGTTTTTTTTTTATATTTTCAACAGACTTATACCACTACAAAAAATATTAATATTTCCGACGGATTTTTACCGACGGATTAATATCCGTCGATATATCTTAATTTTCGACGGAATTACCGACGGTATTTTTAATCTTTTTTACCGACGGTCAAAAGCCTTCGGTAAGGCCGTCGGTAAGTGACATGCACATTACCGACGGATTTACCGAAGGCTTTGGGTCGTCGGTAAAAAGAGCGGGATTTTTCCCGCCCATTATTTCGCTAGACGACGTTACCGACGGATTTACCGAAGGCTTTGGGCCGTCGGTAAAAAGAGCGGGATTTTTCCCGCCCATTATTTCGCTAGACGACATTACCGACGGATTTACCGAAGGCTTCGCGCCGTCGGTAAAAAGAGCGGGATTTTTCGAGACCAGCTTCGCATCCAGTGCCAATATATGTGGCAACCACTCATTTCTCCTCTCATTTCTCTCTATCTCAGTCTAATACTTCTTCTATCGTTGCTCTACACCGCCGCTGCCCTCCACCGCCGCTGCCTTCCACCGCCGCTGCCCTCCACCAACGCTGCCCTCCACCACCGCTGCCCTCCACCACAGCTGCTCTCCACCACCACTGCTTTCCACCGCTGCTCTCCACCTCCATTACTCTTCACCGTCGCTGCCCTCCCGCCGCGGCCCTCCACCACCGTTTTCCTCTACCACCGTTCTCTTCACCACCGCTGCCCTCTACCACCGTTCTCTCCACCATATTTTTTGGATTAGGAACATTTATCTTACAAATCTGAGAATTGTAGAAAAACTGTCCATGATTCCCTATAATTTTAACTATTGAAAATAAATGGTTGTTTGATACTTTGGACATTAATTTGTTACTCGCGTGATGCCGTTTTGGTGGCGGAGTTCGTGAAAATGTAAAAAAAAATTGACACAGCGATGAAGGAAGAGGAAGAAGATGAACCAGGTCGCGACATTTACCGACGGATTTACCGAAGGCCTAGATCCTTCGGTAATTACCGAAGGCTTTACCGACGGCCAAAAGCCTTCGGTAATTACCGACGGACGAAAGATCCGTCGGTAAAGTTTACCGACAACGTTTTTACCGACGGTATATTGGCCGTCGGTAAGCCGTCGGTAAATGCTAATTACCGACGGATTTTATACATTACCGACGACTTATGACCGTCGGTAATCTCAATCATTCTTGTAGTGTACAATCATGAGATTATGTTCGTCGTGCTTGTCACATTATCGTTATGAAGCTTTTCTAGTTCTTCAACAAAGATAGATTTACACGAGTTTAATATCATATTAGATAGCTTTATGTACAAATAATGTATTAAATATTATTACACAATTTAATGTATCAAATGAATTTCATTTTGTTTATTTAATTGAATCTGTTCATTAATTGATTATAAATTGATTCGATGAGATCTAGAAAAATACAGAAAATTGATTAAATGTTAAATATAAAAATATAATTTTTTTTTCAAAATGATTTTTCGACGGTTTTGGAAAACCCCTGATAATTACTGGTGGTTTCCTAAAAACTCCTATAAATACCGGCGGTTTTTGAAAACTCCCAATAATTATCGGCAGTTTTTATGAAAACCCCTAGTAGTGTCGGCAGTTTTGAAAACCCCGAAAATAGCAGCGGTTTTCAAAAAATCGCCGGTAATTGTGATGCTGTTTTTTTCACTATTTTCGTAACCGTGGGAAACATATTTAGGGGTGTTTTAACCCCGAAAACGTAACAAAAAAATCCTCATAAAATTGGATATTTTTGTAGTGATTGAGGATAATATTCAGTTTTAGCTTTTCGTAAAAGAAAAATTTTTTGTGAAAAAATGATTAATTCTAGGAAAATATCTTAGAGTATAAAAAAATAATTAATTTTTCAAAGAAAAGCATGTATGTTGATTTTGTAAAATAGAGTTTCACCTAAATAAGTCATTATATTTTGAAATGTTCAATTATTTTTTGAGACTGTGTGATTTTTTTAATTAACTCTCGTACTTGATTATAACTATAACCTAAATGACTGATTCACAAACGCTCGCGAAAATGAATCTCACTCTCAAAATAATACAGGATATAAGTTTCCTCCTCATCTATAACTATCAATTCTCCTTTCTCCTTATTTTTAAAAAATTTAAACATTTTTTATCTATCAAATATTATATTACTCACTAACTTTTCATAAACTGTATTTTCGTTTTTTATTATTTTTTTCTTAATCCAAACAACTTCACATTATTTTTTTTAATTCACTCAAATTCATTTTCAGAAACAAACTAAGCTTAAAAGTGTGAAATGTAAAAAAGAATAATATATGGTGTACATAAACTTGCGAATTTAATAATTCTTTTAATCTTTGAAAATTCAAATTCAAATTAAGGTTTGTATAATTTAGTAAAAAGATTGAATAACAAAAATCATAATCTTACCTAAGTTTTGGGACATATATACTTGCCAACCCCTTCATTTAAAAGCTGTATTTGATTTATCTCTCTCACATGTGCCTTTCATTTTCTTGTTTTATGGAAAGCTGTAACGTCCTATTTGTAGACCTTTTCTTCGTACTACCTTTCTATTCATTTATGATATTAACATTTTCACTTGAAACAAAAGTTTCTTTCTCAACAAGTTTTATTTATTTTTAACTATAATTTTATATTGATTAATGCTCCTATTATTTTTCCTTTATATTTTGAAGACACAATTAAATGTTTTGGTGAGCTTAATTGACAATGACATATTACTCTAAATATTTTAAAAACTTGAGACTAATGGCAACAATTTAAGAATATATTAAAGATTAAGATTCATAAAAGAATTTTTTAAGTAAAAGAAAAAAAATGGATTGAGTGAATTATTTGTTGGAGATTGAGTATTAACTAGAGATAAGATAATTTTTTATTATATAAAGTTAATGCAAATCTCATTTTGAAGCTAATTGTGAGATTGAGTTAAAGTTAAAATTTGCATCTTAACATGATACCATATCCATGAGTTTGAATCTATCATGACAAGATTTGTTATTTATTGGGTTACCGTATCACTTGTTATCAAATCATTATTACTGTATCTAGTACATATATCTCGACTTGAGAAAGTGTGTTAGAAATCTTACATTAATTATAAATAAGTCAATTTCATAGTATACAAAATGAACAAAACTTTATCTTTCAATTTATTTTTAATTATGAGATAGTGTTAGAAACTAAAAATTATTATAAATACCTTTTAAGTTGTCTAACAATCATAATTAATTTTAAAAAAATCAAACAAGAAAGAAAGTCTCAAAATAGATGCAACTTTTTAAATTTAATTATCATATTATCTATTTTCATAATATAAATGGTTATTATATAAATCATTATAGATATTAATTATCTTTCTCTATTTTTCAAGTTATTTGTCATTTAATTTTATTGTGATTCTTAAATTTTTCTTTCTAAATATAATACATTTTATTTTTAGTTCTTTAAATATGTTATTTTTATATTTAGTTCTTATAAATATAGTATTTTTATTTATAATTCTTACAATTACTTTTGTTTTTGTTATGCTAGGTCATGGCTTTTTATATTTCAGTTTGTTATATATACTGGGATAATGTTGATTTAAAAAGTTCACTTTATCATGACATCATTAACTTTATGAAAAAAAAATACTAATAGAAATATGAAAATTATTTCAGGAAGAAAAAAGGGATCAAAGATGGTAATTTATGATTTGATGAAATCTATATTGTGATTACATCTATTATTATTATTTTGTTTTTATTAATTTTTTATAAAAATAAAATATTTATTAGCAACAAAAAAATTATCTGAAAACTTAAATAGGACAATTGAAATTTAAAAAATATAGCATGCCAGTTACATAGAATAAATGCAATTTTATCATATAAATAAAATCTACGATAAATAATTTTTTAAAATATAAAGCACGACTCAAACTTTATTCAATAATGGTTATATTTTATATTTGTTTTTACTCGTGACATCAAGTTTTAATGAGGTTTTAGGAAAATAACCATTTTAAATTGAGATTAATGAGATTTAAGTGATGTTTACTATTTTTTGACTGGTGTAAATTAAATATTTGTGTTTATATTTTATTCCAGAGTAAAATATTAATTAGGCGATGTTTATTTTTCTTCACCTTTAGAACGCTAACGTAGGCATCATAGTTAGAAGTGAAAAAATATGATTTATTTTTCAAATGCAATCTTACCATAAACTTCAATGTGTTGTTAATTTAATAAATAATTCATTTTCTTAATTATCCAGTTGTGTAAAAAAAAATTATTGGAGAAACCCAATTCTACAAAGTAAACGTTTCAAATTGGACACTTTTAATATAATATTATTATTAAAAGTAGTATATGTCAAAGTTCAATCTTCACGAAACTTGAACATGAACATATTAAGCATTGATAAAGACATTTCCAGTTCTATGGTGAAACACTTGATGATTCATAATCCCAAAATTCATGTTGGTTTAGTATATTTAGGTCAACTTTGCTGTTTATTTGAAGGCATTGATTGAATAATTGTATTAAATATAGGAACTTGGTGATTGAGTTGGATGAAGATGACCAAAACCAGTTGTCAATTCGATTGCGTAAGCTGTGTTCATACTTAATGAGAACATGCTTATGTATGGAAGATCTCTACAACTTCAAACTTAAAACTTATCCCATTGTGACGTTATCCACACGACATTCCTCAATTAATGTTCTTTATTTGTAGAACCCATAATTGAATTCCTTGCTTCCTTTTTCATGGTCGAATTTCAAATTCATACATGGCAGACATTACAGGTAAATGCTTTTGTGTAAATTAATGAAAGAACGAAAAGAAACGAAAATTTGAAAGAAGAAAAAGGAGATTCTTTTACTCCTTTTCACTTTCTTTTGTTTTTTTAAGATATTTTAAGACCCGTAGAAAATTATAAGATAATCACAAGCTTTAGCTATGTTTTCGATGTTTCACATAAAGCTATCTCAAACAAATTATTGATATAAAAAAATAATCAAAGTATGTTGATAAAATTAAGAAAAAGAATACAGTATTCCACAATTGCTTCTTCTACATGACCCACCAAAAAATCAAAAAGGGAAAAAGAAGCTTCTAGAACGTGCAGCAGCCAGCCTCAATTTACATGATTTTTTTCTTTATATATGTGTCAAAATTTTGAATTGATTCATAATAAATTAAAAACCTAAAATCTTCTTCTACAAAACTAAACAAACAATTAAATATATTATATATATATATATATATATATATATAATATATATATATTATTTTTATTTAATTTGTTATTATTTAGCTTAGGCAAAGGCTTCATCGCAAACTTGAAGAGTTTCGGGCAGGTCGTAATCTTGGTAACGCGGAGAAGAAGAGGGAAGAAAGGAACGCTAAGAGAGGATATAAGGACAATAAACGTAAGAGGGATGATGAAACTGAGAAGGGTGACAATGTGAGTGGTGAGTTGGCGGAGAAAGTGAAGAAAGATGCTGCAGAGGCTTCCAAGGAGCTTGTGTTTGGCCATGTCAAACTTCAGAATGAAGAAATGCTAGGGAAGAAGAAGAGGAAACTTTCAAAGCATAAGGAACTTGAAAGGGCTAAAGAAGTTGGAGGAAGTGAAAAAGAATGATCCTGAGAAGGCTGAAGTATTTGCCAAGAAGCAATCGTGGAAAGCAGCAATGGATAGAGCATCAGGGGTTAAGGTTCACGATGATCCCAAACTGCTAAAGAAAAGCATCAATAAGGAGAAGAAGAAGCAGAAGAATTCAGAGAAATGGAAAGATAGAATTCAAACAAGGGACCAATTGAAGGCGGAGAAACAGAAGAAAAGGTCAGAGAATATATCTGCCAGGATTCATGAGAAGAAAATGCGAAAGATTGCCAAAAGAGAAAAAAAGCTTATGCGACCAGGTTTCGAAGGTCGCAAAGAAGGTTTTATGAATGAGGGTGGTGCCACCTAACAATTTTGATTTGTATCTTTTCTTTACATTGTTATGACAATTCAAGGACTGGAGAAAGGTTCACCTATCAAATTTCTGTATGCTTGATCATATTTCTTGAAATGAAACATATTTTATTTTCTATTATGATCTACATCGGCATACCATATTTGCTAGCTCTTGTAACTAAATGAGATGTTGCTGTCGAAGACCCTTAGTGTACGGGGTTTGGTCTCAAATTTGTGTTCAATTCATAGATGTCTCCTTTGTTTGGATAGGAATTTAAGATCATTGTAGTTGAGGAAACCGATACATGTTTCACTGAACTGATGCTTTAATCTGAATGAATTTGATTAAATGACTCCACCTTCACCTTCACCCATTCAATTTGTCAGCCTGAACTATAAGCAATTCTTGATCCACTGGCCTATACTCATACTTAGATTTGTAACCTCTTCGACTTGAGATTACTAACTTAATTAGTATCAAGCCAACTGATGATACATCTCAAACTAGGATTATCCAAACTGCGCTTTCTCAACCATTTTGAGAAACCCACTAGTTATAGTATTTCAACTATACTAATGAAATTGCTTTACAACTTAACTATAGACCCCAAATCTTCATATTCTTCAACCCACTCTTACTTAATCCTTATCAACCAAGAACCTGAATCTTTTCTCTGTTCAAACTAACAGTTGACATTTCCTTACCTGTAGATTGCCACTATAACTCAAAATCATAGCTCAAATTATCTCTTTCGCCAACTGACTCACTCTTCCTGTTACAAATCTATTAATAGTTCCTCACTTTAAAGTTGATCATGTAGCTTGAAACCGTAGGCTCACTCATCTTATTTGTGCCTGATACCTGTTTCTTCCATACCTAAACTCACTTCTGACTCTTGAAGATTACCAAACATTCCCAACTCATTCTCATATAACAACACCAATACTGTTTCAAAGAACTCGTCCCTCATAAACCACCAATTCACAATTATGAAAGCTCTTCATGCATGCCTATTACTGACAATAACATGCTCACCATCATCCGCTGCGCTACTCTGATCCTCAAACACCCTTACTCACTAGTTGACTCAAAGGATACTTCCTTTATGATTGCTGTAACCAGAAAATGCTCACCCTTGAAGAACCTTCTTCAAAACTTCTATGACCTCACAAAAACCTTTACACCACAAAAACCTGATATTCTCTTCTTCACATATCCATGTTAACCTCTTTTGATACTCACAACCCTTTTTCTTTACTTTCTAACTTGATCCACGACTGATGTATGACCACTAACATTTCTTCTTGAAACACAAAGCTTCTCTTAAAGTCCAAACCTCTAGAAACGGCTTGAAAATAATCGAACCTCCCTTGCGATCACACCCTAAACTTATGAAGAACAACATCATCTCTTCTTCACTTGCGTTTATCAGACTTCCTTGATTCACATAACACTAATTCTCAACTATATCTTAATCAACCCCTAATGCATCACCACTGTTTTCCTTCTCTCAAAATGAGAAACACCTCTGAAAGACTAAAACTCCCTTAAAACAACGCTTATGAACGACTCATTATCTCATAAGGTCAAGCTCTAAACCTGCAAAGAAATTACTTCACATAAACCTCCAACCTAAGCACTTTGATCACCTCGTCGAATGCCACATAATCAAAGAAATCTTCGTGGAACCCCTACCAACACGAATATTGTCAACTTACCCTCAAACGTTTTCAAGAATTTACCTCTTCAACTCGAGACCTCCGATTAACAAAGCTTGCCTCTGAACCTCTGCACCATAGAGTACCATCACCCCTCAAGCAAACTTTCTAACCTACTCTGAATCCCACAGTCTCATTGTCTTCTGTAACCTAACATCCAACAACTGCTTCTTTCTTGATCAAACTCAATCGGTCATTCAACACTACCACAAGACCATACATGATGAAAACTAACTTCAACTTAATATGCAACTTCATATCTCTAAACCTCTCGACCAACCCAACTCTCAAATCATCTCGATAATTACTTCAACAACTTATATATATATATATATATATACTGTCTCTTTATACACATCTACAAAGTCCATGTTTTCATATCCCCCCGCATCGTTCACAATGCTAAGGAAACTCTTATTTAACCTAACTCCAGCATCGTGGTTGACCTGCAACGTGTGTTTTGCATGCATGCTTAACTTTCTATTGGCTGCAAATAGTTTGGAGTTATTTGGACAAAGATCATGGTTGTGGTCNTTTCGGGCAGGTCGTAATCTTGGTAACGCGGAGAAGAAGAGGGAAGAAAGGAACGCTAAGAGAGGATATAAGGACAATAAACGTAAGAGGGATGATGAAACTGAGAAGGGTGACAATGTGAGTGGTGAGTTGGCGGAGAAAGTGAAGAAAGATGCTGCAGAGGCTTCCAAGGAGCTTGTGTTTGGCCATGTCAAACTTCAGAATGAAGAAATGCTAGGGAAGAAGAAGAGGAAACTTTCAAAGCATAAGGAACTTGAAAGGGCTAAAGAAGTTGGAGGAAGTGAAAAAGAATGATCCTGAGAAGGCTGAAGTATTTGCCAAGAAGCAATCGTGGAAAGCAGCAATGGATAGAGCATCAGGGGTTAAGGTTCACGATGATCCCAAACTGCTAAAGAAAAGCATCAATAAGGAGAAGAAGAAGCAGAAGAATTCAGAGAAATGGAAAGATAGAATTCAAACAAGGGACCAATTGAAGGCGGAGAAACAGAAGAAAAGGTCAGAGAATATATCTGCCAGGATTCATGAGAAGAAAATGCGAAAGATTGCCAAAAGAGAAAAAAAGCTTATGCGACCAGGTTTCGAAGGTCGCAAAGAAGGTTTTATGAATGAGGGTGGTGCCACCTAACAATTTTGATTTGTATCTTTTCTTTACATTGTTATGACAATTCAAGGACTGGAGAAAGGTTCACCTATCAAATTTCTGTATGCTTGATCATATTTCTTGAAATGAAACATATTTTATTTTCTATTATGATCTACATCGGCATACCATATTTGCTAGCTCTTGTAACTAAATGAGATGTTGCTGTCGAAGACCCTTAGTGTACGGGGTTTGGTCTCAAATTTGTGTTCAATTCATAGATGTCTCCTTTGTTTGGATAGGAATTTAAGATCATTGTAGTTGAGGAAACCGATACATGTTTCACTGAACTGATGCTTTAATCTGAATGAATTTGATTAAATGACTCCACCTTCACCTTCACCCATTCAATTTGTCAGCCTGAACTATAAGCAATTCTTGATCCACTGGCCTATACTCATACTTAGATTTGTAACCTCTTCGACTTGAGATTACTAACTTAATTAGTATCAAGCCAACTGATGATACATCTCAAACTAGGATTATCCAAACTGCGCTTTCTCAACCATTTTGAGAAACCCACTAGTTATAGTATTTCAACTATACTAATGAAATTGCTTTACAACTTAACTATAGACCCCAAATCTTCATATTCTTCAACCCACTCTTACTTAATCCTTATCAACCAAGAACCTGAATCTTTTCTCTGTTCAAACTAACAGTTGACATTTCCTTACCTGTAGATTGCCACTATAACTCAAAATCATAGCTCAAATTATCTCTTTCGCCAACTGACTCACTCTTCCTGTTACAAATCTATTAATAGTTCCTCACTTTAAAGTTGATCATGTAGCTTGAAACCGTAGGCTCACTCATCTTATTTGTGCCTGATAACTGTTTCTTCCATACCTAAACTCACTTCTGACTCTTGAAGATTACCAAACATTCCCAACTCATTCTCATATAACAACACCAATACTGTTTCAAAGAACTCGTCCCTCATAAACCACCAATTCACAATTATGAAAGCTCTTCATGCATGCCTATTACTGACAATAACATGCTCACCATCATCCGCTGCGCTACTCTGATCCTCAAACACCCTTACTCACTAGTTGACTCAAAGGATACTTCCTTTATGATTGCTGTAACCAGAAAATGCTCAACCTTGAAGAACCTTCTTCAAAACTTCTATGACCTCACAAAAACCTTTACACCACAAAAACCTGATATTCTCTTCTTCACATATCCATGTTAACCTCTTTTGATACTCACAACCCTTTTTCTTTACTTTCTAACTTGATCCACGACTGATGTATGACCACTAACATTTCTTCTTGAAACACAAAGCTTCTCTTAAAGTCCAAACCTCTAGAAACGGCTTGAAAATAATCGAACCTCCCTTGCGATCACACCCTAAACTTATGAAGAACAACATCATCTCTTCTTCACTTGCGTTTATCAGACTTCCTTGATTCACATAACACTAATTCTCAACTATATCTTAATCAACCCCTAATGCATCACCACTGTTTTCCTTCTCTCAAAATGAGAAACACCTCTGAAAGACTAAAACTCCCTTAAAACAACGCTTATGAACGACTCATTATCTCATAAGGTCAAGCTCTAAACCTGCAAAGAAATTACTTCACATAAACCTCCAACCTAAGCACTTTGATCACCTCGTCGAATGCCACATAATCAAAGAAATCTTCGTGGAACCCCTACCAACACGAATATTGTCAACTTACCCTCAAACGTTTTCAAGAATTTACCTCTTCAACTCGAGACCTCCGATTAACAAAGCTTGCCTCTGAACCTCTGCACCATAGAGTACCATCACCCCTCAAGCAAACTTTCTAACCTACTCTGAATCCCACAGTCTCATTGTCTTCTGTAACCTAACATCCAACAACTGCTTCTTTCTTGATCAAACTCAATCGGTCATTCAACACTACCACAAGACCATACATGATGAAAACTAACTTCAACTTAATATGCAACTTCATATCTCTAAACCTCTCGACCAACCCAACTCTCAAATCATCTCGATAATTACTTCAACAACTTATATATATATATATATATATACTGTCTCTTTATACACATCTACAAAGTCCATGTTTTCATATCCCCCCGCATCGTTCACAATGCTAAGGAAACTCTTATTTAACCTAACTCCAGCATCGTGGTTGACCTGCAACGTGTGTTTTGCATGCATGCTTAACTTTCTATTGGCTGCAAATAGTTTGGAGTTATTTGGACAAAGATCATGGTTGTGGTCCAGAACAACGGTCCTTATAAACCACTTGTCCTCCTTCTTTGCAATGGTTATCCCAGCAGGACATTGGTTAATTTGACTTGGAAGTGTTTTTACCACTGGTTTGACCGAAGACACATATTTTCCCTCCCTTGAACAAACTATTCTGAGATAGTAGACGTTGTTGTCTTTATCTTTTTTAGAAGTTCTAGTCCGCACGCCAAACCCACGTCTAATGGCGTAGTTTGTGTAAAAAGTTTTTGCTTCAACCATTGAGTCAAAACACATATGCACTGTTGGGTCAATCNGTTGTTTTTTTTTATTTTATTCAATTATTCAAAGTCTAACAAGAACAATACCTTTGACATCTAAATATATATATATATCTATATATATATATATATATATCTTATATATATTATTATATATATATAATCCTATCCATATATACTCAATTGTTGAAGTAATTATCGAGATGATTTGAGAGTTGGGTTGGTCGAGAGGTTTAGAGATATGAAGTTGCATATTAAGTTGAAGTTAGTTTTCATCATGTATGGTCTTGTGGTAGTGTTGAATGACCGATTGAGTTTGATCAAGAAAGAAGCAGTTGTTGGATGTTAGGTTACAGAAGACAATGAGACTGTGGGATTCAGAGTAGGTTAGAAAGTTTGCTTGAGGGGTGATGGTACTCTATGGTGCAGAGGTTCAGAGGCAAGCTTTGTTAATCGGAGGTCTCGAGTTGAAGAGGTAAATTCTTGAAAACGTTTGAGGGTAAGTTGACAATATTCGTGTTGGTAGGGGTTCCACGAAGATTTCTTTGATTATGTGGCATTCGACGAGGTGATCAAAGTGCTTAGGTTGGAGGTTTATGTGAAGTAATTTCTTTGCAGGTTTAGAGCTTGACCTTATGAGATAATGAGTCGTTCATAAGCGTTGTTTTAAGGGAGTTTTAGTCTTTCAGAGGTGTTTCTCATTTTGAGAGAAGGAAAACAGTGGTGATGCATTAGGGGTTGATTAAGATATAGTTGAGAATTAGTGTTATGTGAATCAAGGAAGTCTGATAAACGCAAGTGAAGAAGAGATGATGTTGTTCTTCATCAAGTTTAGGCGTGTGCACTCGCCATGGAGTTTCCTCACTGTAATTTTTCAAGCAACTTGTTCTGTTTCTAATATTTTTTTGACTTTCGTAGATCTCTTTTTCTTTTCAAAAGTCAGAAGTTTTATTTTTCATACATCCACATTCCTTTTATCCAATTAATATTAATTAAAATGTGTTTTGGTTTTATCAAAACTGTTTTACCAATTTATATGTTGAATACTAGTTATTATCCTTTTTATTTTTTTGTTTATAATTTTTGTTTGTTTGTTATTTCCATAAAAGTTTTGAAGAGGTTCTTCAAGGGTTATCATTATTCTGGTTACATCATCCATAAAAAGGAAGTAGTCCTTTGAGTCAACTAGTGAGTAAGGTGTGTTTGAGTATCAGAGTAGGCGCGCGATGATGGTGAGCTGGTTATTGTCAGTAATAGGCATGCCATGAAGAGCTTTCCCATCATAATTTGTAATTGGTGGTTTATGAGGGACGAGTTCTTTGCAAACAGTATCTTGGTGTTTTTATAATGATAATGAGTGGAATGTTTGGTAATCTTCAAGATTCCGAAGTGAGTTTTAGGTATGGAATAAACATGGTATCAGTCACAAATAAGATGAGTGAGCCTACGGTTTCAAGCTACATGATCAACTTTAAAGTGAGGAACTATTAATAGATTTGTAACAGGAAGAGTGAGTCAGTTGGCGAAAGAGATAATTTGAGCTATGATTTTGAGTTATAGTGGCAATCTACAGGTAAGGAAATGTCAACTGTTAGTTTGAACAGAGAAAAGATTCAGGTTCTTGGTTGATAAGGATTTAAGTAAGGGGGGTTGAAAGAAATATGAAGATTTGGGGTCTATAGTTAGTTGGTAAAGCATTTCAATTCGTATATTTTTAAATAATATAACTATGGTTTCTCAAAATGTTGAGAAAGCGTCAGTTTGGATAATCCCTGTTTTTTGAGTGTTCAATCAGTTGGGCTGATACTATTAAGTTAGTAATCTCAAGTTTGAAGAGGTTCCAAATCTAAAGTAGGAGTATAGGCCCCAGTGGATCAAGAATTGCTTATAGTTCGGCTGACAAATTAATGGTGAAGTGGGAAGTGGAAGGTTCATTTCTTACATCAATTCATTCAGATCAGCATCATTCAGTGAAACTGTACTCGGTGACGAGTTCCTCACGCAATGAACTTAAATATTTCCTAAAAAAAATCGCACCAACGGGGACCTCTATGAATTGAACACATTTATTGAGACCAAACCCCGTACACTAGGGTCTTCGACACGCAAACATCGCATTTAGTTAACAAAGCAGCAAATATGGTAATGCCGATGTTAGATCAATAACTAGAAATAAATATGTTTCATTTCCAAGAATAGAATCAGACATACAAGAATTTGATAGTGAACCTTCTCCAGTTCCTTGAATTGTCATAGACCATGTCTAGTACAAGATACAAATCAAAAATTGTTTAGTGGCAACCACCCACCAATTCATAAAACCTTCTTTGCGACCTTCGAAACTGGTCCATAGCTTTTTCTCTTGTTGGCAAATCTTTCGCATTTTCTTCTCAATGAAATCCTGGCAATATATTCCTCTGACCTTTTCGTCTGTTTTCTCGCCTTCAAATTGGTCCCCATTGTTTGAATTCTATCTTTTCCATTTCTCTCAGAAAATTCTTTTCTGCTTCTTCTTCTTCTCCTTATGATTCTTTTCTTTAGCATTTGGGATCATCGTGAACCTTAACGCCCTGATGCTCCTATCCTTGTCTGCGTTCACATTCCAATTCCACGATTTGCTTCTTGGCAAATACTTCAAGCCTTCTCAGGAATCATTCTTTTTCACTTCCTCCACTTCTTTAGCCCCTTTCAAAGTTCCTTAATGGCTTTGAAAGTTTCCTCTTCCTTCTTCCCTAGCAATTCTTTTCTTCTTCATTCTGAAGTTTTGACATGCCCAAACACAAGCTCCTTGGAAGCCTCTGCAGCATCTTTCTTCACTTTCTCCGCCAACTCACCACTCACATTGTCACCCTTCTCAGTTTCATCATCCCTCTTACGTTTATTGTCCTTATATCCTCTCTTAGCGTTCCTTTCTTCCCTCTTCTTCTCCGCGTTACCAAGATTACGACCTGCCCGAAACTCTTCAAGTTTGCGATGAAGCCTTTGCCTAAGCTAAATAATAACAAATTAAATAAAAATAATAATTTAATATATATATATATACTCTATATATATAGATAATATATTTATATTTTTTTTTCTTTTTTATGTCGCAGAAGCCTTTCGGTTTTATTCCTCCCCTTTCTTCTGCATCACTTTCACCATTTTGACACATCCTACCGCCCAAAAAGCCTGAATTGAGGCTGTCTGCTGTCACGTTTCTAGAACTTCTTTTTTTCCCTTTTTGCTTTTTTGGTGGGGAGTGAGGGGGGGGGTCCATTAAACGAAGCAATTGTTGAATACTGTATTCTTTTTCTTATTTATAATCACATACTTTGATTATTTTTTTTTTATATCAAATACTTTGTTTAGACTAAAGCTTTATGTTAAACATAACGAAACTAGCTAAAGAGTTGTGATTATCTTAAATTTTTCCTACGGGCCCCTAAAATATCTAAAAAACAAATGACAGTGAAAAGAGAAAAGACAATCTCCACTCCTTTTTTCTTTCTCTTTCAAATTTTCGTTTCCTTTCTTTTTTCGTTTCTTGTCATTCATTTAACTAACACAAAGCATTCCCTGTAATGTCCTGCCATGTAGAATTTTAAATTCGACCTGAAAGGAAAGCAAGGAATTCAATTATTGGTTCTACAAATAAAGAACATTTAGTTAGGAATGTCGTGTGGGATAACGTCATCAATTGGGATAAGTTTAAGTTTGAAGTTGTAGAGATCTTCCATACATAAGCATGTTCTCATTAAGTATGAACACAGCTTACGCAATCGAATTGACAACTGGTTTTTGGTCATCTTCATCCAACTCAATCACCAAGTTCCTATATTTAATACAATTATTCAATCAATGCCTTCAAATAAACAGCAAAGTTGACCTAAATATACTAAACCAACATGAATTTTGGGATTATGAATCATCAAGTGTTTCACCATAGAACTGGAAATGTCTTTATCAATGCTTAATATGTTCATGTTCAAGTTTCGTGAAGATTGAACTTTGACATATACTACTTTTAATAATAATATTATATTAAAAGTGTCCAATTTGAAACGTTTACTTTGTAGAATTGGGTTTCTCCAATAATTTTTTTTTACACAACTGGATAATTAAGAAAATGAATTATTTATTAAATTAACACCATTGAGTTTATGGTAAATTGCCATGAACAATAAATCATATTTTTTCACTTCTAACTATGATGCCTACGTTAGCGTTCTAAAGGTGAAGAAAAATAAACATCGCCTAATTAATATTTTACTCTGGAATAAAATATAAACACAAATATTTAATTTACACCAGTCAAAAAATAGTAAACATCACTTAAATCTCATTAATCTCAATTTAAAATGGTTATTTTCCTAAAACCTCATTAAAACTTGATGTCACGAGTAAAAACAAATATAAAATATAACCATTATTGAATAAAGTTTGAGTCGTGCTTTATATTTTAAAAAATTATTTATCGTAGATTTTATTTATATGATAAAATTGCATTTATTCTATGTAACTGGCATGCTATATTTTTTAAATTTCAATTGTCCTATATATATATATATATATATTTAGATACCCTCTTTTTATTTGTTTCAAATCCTTTCTTCCCATTTCCTCCTACCTTGTGCTCTTAATTCTCTTGCCTTACCTTTTTCTTACAAAACCGACGTTCTAATGTATTACTTCCTTTGATGCTTGAAATCTTCCACCCCAGCCCAAGGTCAAACCTTTCTCCTATTCGAACCATTTATATTGAAACATCCCTTTAAACTTGACTCTGAATCATGCACTTGCTGAGAAAACTTGACAATCTCCTTCCAATTATTCACTTAACTTAAGATCCTTAAAATACTTCATTCTTTTTCAAAGACCTTATGTTCTCTCAACTTGAAAATTATGTCTTCTAATAATTTCTTCTTAACTCTACTCTATGCCTTATCTGACTGCTTCTCAAAATCTTCTTCTTCTACTTCCTTTCTTGATACTTATTCCCCTTAGTCCACTTTAGAATTTCCTATTCCTTTCTTAACTTAGACTTTAGGCCATCCACCACTTTCTTATTCAGATTCCAACCATCATTGATACATCGATCCATGTTACCAATCTCACATAATGCCACTCCGTTTCTCACCAACACTTCCCTTTTTTCTGACTTTTGACGTTACTGATATACTAAACCAAACTGATTTCTCAAACCTTGCTACATCCATGCTTATCCAAAGCTTCTCTTAATCTAGCCTCTGAACTCAACCCCTTCTTGTGAAACGTACGATATATGACCTTCTGACTTTGTTGTTGAAAACTTCTTCATCCAAAACATTACTTCTAAACTCCAATATCTTCACTCGTCCTTTGAAGCCTAAATTTTTAGTCTTCTAACTCCTTATCTTCGAGGCAAGAATTTGTCTCAAAGGCTTAAACCAATTCTAATAAAGGTATACAACTCAAGTTGTCCTTGAATCTGCATTTCTTTACTACTATAAAGCACATTACACCATCACAAAGGCAAGAAAAAGACAGTAATTACTACAGGAAACAACATTGGAACCCTAACTCTTTCTTACCCCAAACCTTCAGACTTAAGAAAGGAAAATCATCTATGGTAAAAGTCATGAGTGTGCACCCTCATCACTCCTATCAAGACGTTTTCTGTTCTCAAAACCTCAAGTTAAATACAATACTATACTATCTAGACTTGGAGGAAATGGTAAATTATACCATTTACACTCAATTATTCACAGAGAAGACACGACAAGCCCTCGACTCACAAGTCATCCTAAGGACAAACTGCTCTGATATCATAAATGTGGCATCCCAAATATATAATAACCACAATCATATAACTTAGGCGTCCACATTCCAATAAAGAGAACAGTCAAAGTAAAATAATAGTTCAGTAGCTGATATTACAGTTATCCACAAAAGGACAGAACTTAAAACTTAAACAGTTTAAAGTACTTCAAAATAACACCAGCTTAAATTTAGAAATCCTAAAAATACTATACTGCATCATCAGCATCCTCCAACTCTTGTTCCAGGGGAACCTCCTCAACATCATCGCAAACAAAAACATACACAAGCAACACACAACAAAGAAGTAAGGGTGAGCTAGATAAACAAGCAATAATCATATATTGTATTTTATCAAGAACCTGAATCTTTACATGATTTTTTTCTTTATATATATATATATATATTGTATTTTATCAAGTGTTAAATTTCATTTATAACAGGGAGGAAAGTCTTTAAAATATGTAAATCAAGTAATAATTTATTTAAATGATATTTAATTTAATAGTTACCTTTTAATCTCATTATTCTGGTAATTTAAATTATTTAAAAAACATTAATGTCTTAAAAAGTAAAGGTAATCTTTATTTATAGTATAAATATAAAATAATAATTATTTCATTATCTCACATTTCAAAATTACACATATATGACATAATATCCATTAACTTTTTAAGATAAATTTCCCATATAATATTATAAATTTTTAATATAAAATAAGAAATATTCATGTACATAAATAGTCAAATGCTTGCACATCAAAATTTTGAATTGATTTATAATAAATTAAAAACCTAAAATCCTTTTCTACAAAACTAAACAAACAATTAAATATTATATATATATATATATATATATATATAGAAAAGATATATTATTTTTATTTAATTTGTTATTATTTTTCTTTATATTTTTAATTTATTTTATATTTATTTTATTATTATTATTTTTATTTATTTGTATTTTAGATTTAGTTGATATTTATTTTATTATAAATAAAATATTTTATACATGGCAAACCATATAAATATGAAAAGGTACTGACATTCAATCCAGTCCCATAACCCTAATTTGAGGACACACTCTGCACCCAGGTGAATTCTATGCATTTTTGTTGTTTCTGATTTCAGTCTGGTTGAGGCCGTTTTTTATTTATTTTTGTTTTCCAATTCAGTTTAGTTGAACGCATTTTTATGCTGTATAGGTTTTAGGGTTACGGAGGGACTGACGAAGATGAAGAACAAAAAACGAAAGGGTAGTGTTGCGGCAGAGAGTGATGAAGTTGTTGAAGATTTGGGGCGTGTGATCGACGAGCATACCCTTTTCTTTGACAAGTTGATTGAGTTGATTCCCGCCAAGTTTTATCTGCCTACTGATGATAAGGAGAAGCCATGGTTTCAGGGTCTCAGCAAGGTTGCAAAGGCTGAGACGAAGAAAGAGACTAAGGAGAATATCAAGAAGTCTAGAAGGGACCGTTTGGATCCCGACAAATCCTCTATGACTACCCTTGACCTTCTCAAGGAAAGTTTGGGAAAAGAAAAGGTGGATGACAGTGATGGAGTACAGGTGGCAGCAGTGGCTAAACCTCTTGTGTCTGGATTGAGAGGAGATGATCGGTCTGTGACTTATGAAGAGCTTCGGCAAAGGCTTCATCGCAAACTTGAAGAGTTTCGGGCAGGTGTAACCTTCTTTCACGTTCCATGTTAACGTTCCATGTTAACGCTCCCACAATTGGAGTGACTCGGTCTCTTAACACGCTTTCTGCTGGTGGTGTTAGCAGTTGCCTCGGCAATGGTTGAAGGGTGAAGAAAAGAAGAAGAAGGTGGGATTTGAGAGAATGGTGGCATGGTAGAGTGAGTTTCGGTTTCCTTTTTCGTAGTGTGACCTTGCATCTTGGTCAATAATATACATCATATACTTTATTTAATTATCTCTCTTCTCGCTATATACCAAGCAGTTTAGTTTTGTTTTGTTCTGTTTTGTTTTGTATCGTATCGTATTGTATTTCTGGAGTGAAATTGAGAAAAAGAAAAAGCTGGGGTGGTTAAGATCAATCATTGGTTTGATTTGAATCGATCTGCTAGTACGTACCTGCTTGCAGAAAAAGAAAAGGCTTCATCTTGAAAGATATATAATATATGCACTATGATTTTGTGTATTTTCAGCCTTATCTAATTTCTATTATATTGTTTATTGTCTTTATCTATGGCCACTCTAGAAGGAATTTTGGTGAAATGAAGTAAACTAATTGAGGAAAGGGGATTGACGGTGGCATCCTATGATATTAAAAGTGTTGGAATTTGTGTAGTTGGTAACAGAAATGATAACATTTGGAAGAAAAATAGGTAGCGGTAATTGATTAGATTCCCGCGGGCATGTGTGATCGTGACACCTTTCTGTATCATGATCATGCAGAGTAACCGTACGAGTGGGAAAAAGCAGCAGAGAGAGACTGAAATAACAGACTTATTGGTGTGCAGAGGTTGGACCCCACAAAGTGATGAACAATAAAAGAGAAAAGAGAAGTTTGTTTTGGAGTGGGAGTCAAGAAAACAGAGAAGAACCGTCATGATTTATTACTCATTTGGTTCCTCCTTCTTCAAATAATGAATTTCAATCGTGTTTATGAATATGATGAATCCTTAAAAAGTTTGACATTAATTGCATTATTACATCAATTTTTTTCATCATTTCAACGTGTAACATCCTAAAAATACAATATAAACTATATAGTAGAATAATTACAATTAATTATAATTTAGATTAGTCTAAAAAAATTAAAAGAGCGTACGGTTTTTGGCCGAACGGCCTTTACAAAATAGTTACACACTTGAATTGTACAAAAATCAACAAACATGACCGAACGGTTTACAAAATGAATTACCGATCGATCAAATTACTCAAAGGGAAAGGTGACCACCTTACATTCAAACTACACTACTGACCGAACGTCCTATTGACCGAACGTCCTATTGTTCGGTCTTCACTTCTACTTCTACCAAATAACCGTACGTACAAAACGAGACAACACAGGAACTACCAAATAACCGTACGTACAAAACGAGACAACACAGGAAAACAAAGGGTAAGCTTATGTAATTTAATTCAAGTATTACACATACATTTCACATATTCAGACACATCAAATACATTTCAACATACACTTCAAGCACGACCTATCACTAGACTGACTGTCCGGACGGTATGAATTTTGTGTAGTTACGACGTTCGTGCACCCGGGTGATGTAGTAACTGAAATATTCTCATCAGCTGCCACCCGAGGTTAGTCCGTTCCGTCCAAAGTACCCCTAAGGACTAGGACCTCCTGACGTTCCCACACATGACCTACCATCCTCTACATGAGGACGAGTACTCACGGAACATCAGGATGAACCGCCAGCTAAGTTTTACCACATTCATACTTTACAATTTCAATAGTCATACATGAGTCATTCCTCCCCGGAACGCTCGTCCAAAAATCACAACGTTTCCTTCATCTCATATACTCTTCATCATTTATTGTCCATCATTTTACTTTCATCTTTATCATTAATATTAAGACTATCAAATACCGAACGTTCAGTCCTCACTAAGGACGAGGATGAACACTGTGGAGGAAACCAAGAAGTCGTCCGTTCAGATCAGAATAATACCGAGAGAGTTACGATTAGGTTTTAGGAATAAACCGAGTACTATCATATTCTATATGACAAACGTTATTCACTACTGAAATCAGTTGAATGAACTGACTCTCGTGAGTTCAAACCAATACTCCAAGAATAAATCGAGGATGGAGGCTCTAGGCCGTATCCAATGAATGTAGACACGTCAAGACGTTAACGAGCCCTATTTAGAGTAATTCACTCACAGAAACTCAATGCCAGTAAATAACCGAACATGGTAAAGGAAAATTCTACTGAAGTTAGACGAACGCTATTTCACCAAGATTGATTATACAAGAATGAGTACGAGCGCTTGGTATAAGACCGAGCACTACTCAGTATGAACGCTAGGTGTAAAACCGAGCACTAATAAACTTCTAATAAAAGGTTGGATAGATATATTAAGATACTATTGAAGTGGTGTTTACGAACAACCATAATATACAATTACATAAATATATATTTTTGAGTTTATCACAGTAGACTCAGGCACAACTATGCTTGGCCGAACGCTCAAACATATTATTACCACACGAGGGCACTCGTCCTACACTAGGATCCTCTCCAAATGAAAGAATCCCATTTTAACTAGGTTCACCAGAAAAACCGAACGGTCAATGACCGTTCAGTAAAAAACGTACTCTATCATAGTAAAAAATTCATATTCAGATTTCATTGATATTTAACTCATTTTTCAATACATCATTTTTGAACCTTATAACTTCACATAAAACATCAATTGACATACTTCGTAAAACCTATATCATGTTAATAAATCATACTCCAAACAATTACTCATATTCACATTCATATACTTCAAACATCTCAACCATCATGCATTATATTCATTCATTCCAATAACGGCCGTTCATACAGTACAACAACATATAGATTAAATTAAATAAGCTTCCCTTACCTCTAGTGTGAACGTACGTCCTTCAGACTAAAACTCAGTTCGCGGAAATAAGATTTCTTCTACCCTCAACGCTCAACCAAACTCTTCAAACTAAAACAAGTTACAAAAAACCAAGATTGGTTCAGACAAGGTGACTACATGCAACCAGATCTTGGTTTGCATGTTCATACGAACGAACAGCTAGGGATGAGAAACTTACCAGTTTCAGAATCCGGAACTGTTCGGCTTAAGTAGAAGCTTGGGACACAGGAAATGCTCCTACGGTGCCTGAATGATGATCGGAGAAGAGAAAGGGTGAGTTTTCTTAGAGAGAAGATAGATTTTCTAGTGAGAAGGAGGAGAAATGGGAAGTTCAGAGTTTTGGGAAGAAGGTTGCATACAGAAGAGAGTGGGACGGAAGTTTTCAGAAAATCATTTTCTTCCCACATCAAAACGAGCGTCCGCTCTTCTGCTGACACTTGCATCCCACTATCTGATTTATGATCCTCGTTTCTTGACACATGGCGTCCGCGCAGAGGGTTTTGGGTGCGTTTTAAATGAACTGACAGGAGGGGGTTTGGGTGCGTATTTACGAGGTCTGACACAATGAAATTATAATTTTATTATTATTTTTATATAATTTTCCATTTCATCTCTTAAAAATCATATTATATTTAACAAGACATTTGAAAGCTGCAAATATTGTAATTAAAACTTATTTGCATTTCTATTTCATTATATTTTTTCTTGTATCATATTGTTATTTTGTCTTACTTAGAATTCATTTTAAGTATTCATGTTAATTATAATCAATATATGATGCTCTCATTTGCTAATGAATTTTCGTCTTTCATATTCGAAAAATTTACAATCAAATCAATATATTTTGTGAATATTTTTTCAGTAAACCGACCATGTTGTATCATTTGTCTAGCCATTGTTCAATATTTGTCATTACGTTGTAAAAAATATAAGTAGAACATAATAAGGTTATCTATTCTATTTAGGATAAAACTTAAATAATAAATTTTTTAAATATCAAAACTTGTCATAAAAAAAATTACCTTTCTTCTTTGGTTAAATAGTTAAGGACTACAAGGAACTGGAGTTAAAATTAATGGATCAAATTGAGACTTAAATTAAAATTAGAGGAGAATGTTGCATTCAAAATTTCTGCAGAATACATTCAGTTTGGAGATCCTTATCTCATAGTGTAAAAAAATTCCTGATCAATAACATAGATGTACATATTATATATAACAATATAAAATAAAGATTTTTATTGCTCATAAAAAAACAGTAAACTTTATTCAATACTGGTTATATTTTAGGAAAATAACCATTTTAAATTGAGATTAATGAGATTAAGTGATGTTTACTATTTTTTGACTGGTGTAAATTAAATATTTGTGTTTATATTTTATTCCAGAGTAAAATATTAATTAGGTTTAAAATGGGATGTTTATTTTTCTCCACCTTTAGAACGCTAACGTAGGCATCATAGTTAGAAGTGAAAAAATATGATTTTTTTTCAAATGCACTCTTACCATAAACTTCAATGTATTGTTAATTTAATAAATAATTCATTTTCTTAATTATCCAGTTGTGTAAAAAAAAATTATTGGAGAAACCCAATTCTACAAAGTAAACGTTTCAAATTGGACACTTTTAATATAATATTATTATTAAAAGTAGTATATGTCAAAGTTCAATCTTCACGAAACTTGAACATGAACATATTAAGCATTGATAAAGACATTTCCAGTTCTATGGTGAAACACTTGATGATTCATAATCCCAAAATTCATGTTGGTTTAGTATATTTAGGTCAACTTTGCTGTTTATTTGAAGGCATTGATTGAATAATTGTATTAAATATAGGAACTTGGTGATTGAGTTGGATGAAGATGACCAAAACAAGTTGTCAATTCGATTGCGTAAGCTGTGTTCATACTTAATGAGAACATGCTTATGTATGGAAGATCTCTACAACTTCAAACTTAAAACTTATCCCATTGTGACGTTATCCACACGACATTCCTCAATTAATGTTCTTTATTTGTAGAACCCATAATTGAATTCCTTGCTTCCTTTTTCATGGTCGAATTTCAAATTCATACATGGCAGACATTACAGGTAAATGCTTTTGTGTAAATTAATGAAAGAACGAAAAGAAACGAAAATTTGAAAGAAGAAAAAGGAGATTCTTTTACTCATTTTCACTTTCTTTTGTTTTTTTAAGATATTTTAAGACCCGTAGAAAATTATAAGATAATCACAAGCTTTAGCTATGTTTTCGATGTTTCACATAAAGCTATCTCAAACAAATTATTAATATAAAAAAATAACCAAAGTATGTTGATAAAATTAAGAAAAAGAATACAGTATTCCACAATTGCTTCTTCTACATGACCCACCAAAAAATCAAGAAGGAAAGAAAAAGCTTCTAGAACGTGCAGCAGCCAGCTCAATTTACATTATTTTTTTCTTTATATATATACATAAAAGATTTCTAATTGAATATAGTATTTTTATACGGAGGATAATAATTTAAAATTGTAACAGTTTAATAA